GACTAAGCCATTTGTTTGTTTGTTGTTTGTTTGTTTTACAGTGTAATCATTTCCCTCTTAACCAATCAGTGCAGTCAAAGCAGACTAAAGTGCTTAAAGTAGTACATACGTACATATGCATGAAACAAGTCTGAATTGTTTCAACCCAGATGTGTAAAATATGAACAGATCCACTGACGGTCTTCATTAAGAGGGATTGAGGGAAGTCGGTTTGATGACTGAGCAGAAATACAGCATGACTGGGCAGGTTTTGAGCACCATTACGTCGGTGAAAGTGTAATGAGTGATCAGAGTAAATTAGCAGGACGTCCTCTGCTCGAGTACTGATTCAGACCTGAAGGAATGGAGGATCTGTAACCCTGAGACTCCTGCAAATCTCCTGGACAGCGCAGGACGAAGCTATTTTAAGCCCAATAACCCTTTTAACTCCATGCGGAAAATTGCTGAATAAATTATGTGCGATGGATCGTGCTTTCATACGCAGATGCTGGCCTTGAGAATCCCTCATGAAAACTTTGCTGATCATCATAACATTGGCACAGGTGTCTGAATCAACCAGTGTTGCTTTATTAATAGTTCATTCATTTTCCTTTTGCTTAGATCTCTTATTCATCAGAGGTCGTCACAGTGGAATGAACCGCCAACTTATCCAGCATATGTTTTACACAGCGGATGCCCTTCAAGCTGCAACTCAGCACTGGGAAACATCTATACACACTCATTCACACTCAAACACTATGGTTAATTTTGTTTACCCAATTCGGAAACCCATGGAGAACATACAAACTCCACACAGAAATGCCAACTGACCCAGCCAAGACTCAAACCAGCAACCTTCTTGCTGTGAGGTGACAGTGCTAACCACTGCTGCATTATATAAATAATAATAATAATAAAAAAAATTTATTTGATGTATTTATTTATATACATCCTTGGCTGAGAGCTGAAATATAATAAATTTATTTAATAACCCAGCTACCATGATATACAGTGATGTACCATGATATAACCCTGCTATCATTATAACTAAATTTATAGCCATCTCGTGATGTTTTATTATTTTCCCTCAGTTATTTCCTATAAGTGCTTTAATAATAACTATTTCCTATCCTCATGGTGCTTTTGTATATCTTCATATTTTTGTCTTTCTTTAATAATATTGTTTTAATATATTTTATTTCATATATTAATAATACTTTTATGGTCCCTTTTAACATTATTGTTTGATTTACAAAATATTTTATGTTAAGATATTTTACATACTCTAGACTAATGGGACATTTATTTAAACTATTTATTTGTTTATTTATTTATTTATTTATTTTACTTTTGGAGAATGACAATCCATTAATTCCTTAATTATTTTACACTTACTGATTTATTATTATTAATATTATTATTATTATTGATAATATGATCATTATTAATCTTATTATTAGTGGTAGTATTAGTATTAGTATTGCTATTATTATTTTTATTTTATTTTATTTTTTTATTATTGCTTTTTTATTATTGCTTTTATTATTGTTGTTTTTTATATTATTATTATTATTATTATTATTATCATTATTGGTAATATTACTATTATTATTATATTTTATTATTATTATTATTATTATTAATAATAATATTAACATTAATATTATTATTATTAATAATTTTGTTATTGTTATTGCTATTATTATTGTGCTTTTATTATTTTTATTGCTGTTATCTTTAATTGTTGCTATTATTATTATTATTATTATTATTATTATCATTGTTGTTATTATTAATATTATTATTGGTATTATTATTATTGTTGTTGTTGTTGTTGTTGCTATTATTATTATTAATATTATTATTATTATTTTTATTATTATTATCATCATCATCATCATCATCATCATCATATAAAGGTCCAGTCCTTTATCATTTCCTCTTTAGAAATATAAAATAATGTATTTTTTCAGCAGTTTTTAGCCTTAAATATTTTAAATAATTATTAATATATCAATATAGATTTTTTATATAAATATATTAATATCATTGTTTCATCAAAACATGAAGCATTTATTAGTTACTTGTTGCTTGTTTTTTTTTTTTTAGAATGACAACAAATAAAATACAATAAAGCCATATTTTCATTTCTGAAAATTTCTCCACAACCTGACGGCCTGTGTTTGCAGTCTTACTGTAAATGCAGGATTCCAATAGTGCGTAGAATTGCTCAGTTCTGTCTCCTGATTGGTCGGTTCTGCTCGGTTTGGATTTGCTTGTTTAAAGAGTGTTTTAAAGGAGCCGCGGCTGCTGAAGGAAAACACTGCGGTTTGGGTCTCGTTGTGTTCAAACCTTCGTCTCTTCTCTCTCAACGTCTTTCCAGAGCAGCTAATAGATTTCTAATGGTTTTCTTACGCCGCTGGGGTTTATTTTCTTCTCTAATCTCTGTTTTTCTTGGTGTCTTTGGGCTGTGAGCTCAGATGTGCTTCATTTAGCGCGGCAGTCAGGAATCTATCGGTGTAGATTGAAGGAAGGATGTTTTAGAAGGAGAAGTAGAGCGAGGGTTTTGGTCTTCATGGCTCGTCTGACTGGAGGAACGAGACTGAAGGACTGTTTACACACATGTGTCCATAACATACATATATATAGATATAGAAGAGCCCTTTTCAAGCTCTGCTGACATGCAGACGTCACTTCCAAGAAGAGTTTGAGGAGCTCAATGGGCCTGAACATCAGTAACAGCTTTCTGTAATCTACCGTACACTTTCTTACCTTGGCTTTGTTTTGTTTCTAGACTAAATATCTACAGATTTTAAAATCAAAAAGCACTTTCTTGACATGTATAAAAGAAAACAATGAACAATGTATATTAATAAAATAAATATAGTAATAAATGATTAAATAAATAAATATTCTGTTGCTTTCAGAAATAATCCATATTAACAAAAAAAGAGTCTAATTATATTTCTTTTCCTTTAATATTTATTTATTAAGACGATGAAGTACATTTATGATTTAAAACTACAGCTAAACAATATTCAATTATATGTGCATATAATATAATATAATGATCAGCTGTAGTTTAAAATTTACAGTGTTTTTCTCCCATAAGGACTTATTATGCAGTCTCTGTCGCCATCTTGTGGTGGAGCGTCAACCGTCTTTGCTCTGCTCAGTATGACAGGCTGATGGCCGTCGATGCGATGCATCTCTGAATTTTAAATATTTAAAATAGACATTATCCTTATAAATAAACTGCATAGTAATCTAAACAACTACATTCTTGCCTTAAAAGCCTCAAAAGTACATTATGTTGTTCAACAGCTGCAATATTTGTCAAGCTGCAGTGAGTTGTTTACAGGGCTTAATTTGAGACAGAACTGAAATCTGATCCGGCTTCTCATTTTACCTATCACCCCTCCTCAACCGCCCTCCTCGCTCGTTCGCTGTTCACTTTCACTTTCTTCCGCGACTCCGAAACCCTCTTGACTTTTTATCCGCTTTCCCACCTCTACATCTTTGGGTAACATGCCGGATCGTTCACTCAATCTGTTCCTGCACCTTGCAATTCACAAATTAAGCACTGGTTGTTTAGTCCCTCTTAAGTCCTAGTGTAGGCGGAGTAATACACAAGGGTGAAGAGGCTGTACGAGTGCTGATAGTGCTGTAATATCTCAAATCAATCAGATTCAAAAGCCAGAAAGAGCTGTTGTGTAAATAAAGATATATGGCATTATTCAATACTCCATGTAGAGACGCACTGCACATAACAATATAGGTCATTTAAATCATGTTAGGTCACGTTGAATAATAAGGAAAAGACTTTTTATTTCTCCCCAAAGTGACTTTGTACAGACATTCAGTGTTCATTTTCAACTCATACGCATGTAAATCCCTGAGCGAGGCAGACTAACCCATCGCTCTGACTGAGGTCTGCAGGATTAATGTTGTCCCGCCTGAGACTCTTAACCACCAACAAGTGGATTAAAAGCATGAAAAGGTCATTAATTGAGGGAGTTTCTGCTGGATCTGAGTCTGGCGTGTTCAGTGTTTTCACTCTTCCTCGCTCTTGTTCTCCACATCCGCTCCTCCTCCTCCTCCTCCTCCTCCAAGACCACACAGAGAAGATAATGAGCCTCATATTTGGGCCATCCATCAGTGCCTTAAACTAGAGGAGTTACTCGCTCACACACACACACACACACAATCACACACACACAAAATTAGACATACTCACACAATCAAACACACACATAATTGCACATATATACACATTTACACACACGCAATGACACATACACACATAATCACATACATACACACACACACACACAAACACACACACACACACATAATTAAACAAACACACAATGACACATACACACATAATCACATACCTAGACACACACAATCTCATGATAACACAACACACACACAATCACACACACACACACACACAATCACACACACACAAAATTAAACAAAAACACAATCACACACACACATAATTACATACATACACAAAATCTCATGATCACACAAAACACACACACATAATTAAACAAACACACAATGACATGTACACACATAATCACATACATACACACACACAATCTCATGATCACACAACACACACACACAATAAAACACACGATTAAACAAACAAACAATTACACATACACACAAACACACATAAGTACACACACACTCTCATGATCACACAAAAACACATAATCACACGCACATACACATACACACACACACACACACACACACACGTGTTAATAATTTCGACTTCAACTCTGTATTAAGGGAAGCGTGTGTGTGTGTGTGTGTGTGTGTGTGTGTGTGTGTGTGTGTGTGTGTGTGTGTGTGTGTATGTGTGTGTGTGTGTGTGTGTGTGTGTGTGTGTGTGTGTGTGTGTGTGTGTGTGTGTGTGTGTGTGTGTGTGTTTGGTGTGTGTTTGACTCATTCTGACATGCTCTCTCTCTCTCTCTCTCTCTCTCTCTCTCCACCCTCAGGCAACTCCAGCAGAGATGTG